CAAGACTGTGAGATAATGACATCATATCTGTTTCATAACTTCAGTTAAAGATAATCCATTTGTTTTCTCTGTATAATTCAAAGAAACGAACGACAACCACAAAAAAAAAAAAAAAAAATTCTAAAAATTATTTAATCAAGTCATGATCACAAGATTTTCAAAGGAAACCCATTAATTTTATAGATGAGGGTTGGTCAGTTTAACAGGAAGTGCTACTGCTCAGCCTGTGAAAACAGATGTAAAATATCTGCTGTAGCTCTGGAGAAGCTTTGTCAAGTCTGATGAAATAACACTGATAATACACACTTGCAATGGTTGGGAAAGACAAACACGTAAAGTAAACCTCATTTGTAGTTAGGGTGCTTAAGTTTGTAACAGTATTTTACACACTAAAATTAGGTGACTTCAAGAGGAAAACCACCTAAATTAAGAATTGTAATATGTATTTTCCATAGTCAAATTTTAATTAATATGTGTGAACATAAGCTACCCTCTCTCAAAGCCAGAAACTAGAGAAAACTCTTAAACTTGTGATGTCATAGGGTATAAAATCTGTAGCTGCTCCACAGACAATGAATAGGACACTGGTTGTCTTTGTTATCTTCTTTCATAATCAAAGCGTCACATATAGGTTTACATTACCAAAGGTTTACGGCACTCTGAGCGGTAAGTCGCTAAAAGAGTCTTAAAAGTCCAAGGCTGTTCATAAAACTTTCAGGACGCCACAGTTTATTTCACACAACTGAACCTGTAATAATCTCGCTTTCAGCCATGCTTGTTGTTGCTGTGCTTAACAGTATGACGTCAATATGTCAACAAGTCAAAATAGTGCGAGTATCACGAGATGAATACTTAAAGGTCAGGTCTATAATGCATTATGATTAATCATGTATGACAACTTATAACAAGGTTTATAAAGTATTATAAGTGGTTACATAATGCATTATAAATTCAGCATTCATAATGCTTTATACTTCCATGCCAAAGTGACGACAGTGTTTGAAAGAAGAATCTGAAGTACTGGGTTACATAGCACATTAGCCAGTTATAAAGACTCAAAGAACTGCTCTGACATATAATAAATGCTTAATTTCTGAAATGGAATAATGCCAGTACTTGCTGAGTGCCAAGCAGGGAGGCAATGGGTCCCATTTTTATAGTCTTTGGTATGACCTGGCCGGAGATCGAACCCATGACCTCCCAGTCTCAGGGCGATACACTCTACCACTAGGCCACTGAGCTGGTGATTACTATTATTATTAGTATTAAAAGACATTTTGAAAAGATGCGTTTTGAGCAGTGATTTGAACTTGGAGAGTATTAGAAATTATACCGGTTTTACTGTGAACGATATAATATGGCACACCCCAAGTTCTGACACAGAAAATGTATCCATATACTCAGAACATTCTCCTGGGTACTCTCAGTGTCACCCCTCTGTATAAAAAGACAATGGCGGAATGGGGGGACAGAGTTGTCTCGCCTTTAAGCCAGCATCAGAGGTAGTAATGATGCCCAAACAGTGTCTGTATAAATAGGATAGCCAGCAGGACACAACTGTGGGTGGCTAGGGTGAGAAGTTTTGATGACATGTTATGTGTGTGACGACCCATCAAGAGATTTAAAAAGTAGCTGATAGCAGCTAACTCAAAGAGGAAGAACAGCGGCCGAAAATGTCCACAAATTGGGAAAAAAAAGAGGTCTGGGAGCTCCTTACTATACCATTTCAGATTTAGAGCTTGTATCATCTCCCTGAGAATATACAACAACAAAAAGTGATTCTCTGATTTCTACAGTAACACTATTACCTCAAATTAACCACAGCAATGTAATAAAAAATACTTATATGCATTCATGCTTGGGCACTGTTATTTACGTGACAACACCTGAACATAACACACACAGACACACATTGGCTGTTTGTTTCTATCTCTCCCCTCCCTGGAAGCGGACCTCCCGCCGCCCGCCTCCGCCTTGATTAAACGCTGAAAATTAAATAAAAGAGGGAGACAGGTGTCTTCCTATTTTATTTTATTTAATTTGTTATATTTCTACTGCTCCCCTTGCTGGAAGCGTCGGACCTCCCGTCGCCCACTCCCGTCTCAAACACGGAGGTCTCCCTCTCCGCTGAGCACCCGGCGCACACCCGGCCTGTTAAATAGCCTGTAACCATGACAACTGTGTGACACAAACTCAGTGCTTTAGTGATTAGATAATGTCGGGCTCGGTCGGGTTCGGACAGAAATATGCGGCCCGTGCCGCACTCTAATGGAAATGCACGTGACGTTTTTGGGTTTTTTTACAATCTAGGAACCGTTTGCAGGAACCGTTATGCCAAATGTGATGGAACCGGTTCCGGAATCGGAACTTTGGACCTGGTTCCAAAAAAAGAACCGGATCCGGATCCCAACCCTAATCCAAGCACAGTTACGCATACATCTGTAAGTGTCAAGGGGAAATCATGGACTCCATAACAAACTATATAATAACAAATGAAAAATTGAGCAATTTTGCTCGGTTTCGGCCCACTTGACATGCTGCTGTGTTGTGCTATGGCGTGCTGGAATTTGTCATTTACGTGACAACGCCTGAACGCAACGCAGGCTCGCTCCGCTGTAGGTACAGTGCCATGCTACGCTGCTGTGTGAGCAGCGTGTTTGACTGAGTGAGCAGCGTGTTTGACTGTGCAACTGTCTGTTGATGGTCATTTACACACTGTCCATAACAATAACTATGTCGGGTCAGTGCCCCCCTAATATAATGTAGGGGAAACACTGAATCAAGCAAGAAGACTAATGATACCATTTTTTTATTATATTGTAATCGCAATAGAGTGTGCCAGTAAACCCGGAACTCTGTTAGCGCTTTTAGCACTTCCGGTTCTCTCGTCTAAAAGTCAATACGTTTTTTGAATGGGATTTTGGTAAAATGCCTCAAATAAGGTCTGTGGTTAACAAAAGCTTAAGCGAGTTTCAGGTTTTGTTCTACAACATAAAACATGTCAGTAAATACCCTACTTGTGAATTTTGAAGCTTTTACATGTCGTAAAAAAGGCGGTTGCTAACAAGTTGCTCAATACGACTACAAACCCTGTCAGGGACATTAAACGTCATCACCCCCGAACAGGCGAGAGTGCTGGCAGTCCGCCATTACAGCTTCTTATTTAGCTTAAACAGTCCGATTTCCCCATTATACAATGTTTTTAAAATAAAGCGGCCGAAATCAGTTGAAAGCTTAGTGGCGGTGACGTCAAGAGTCATGCGACCGTGGAGTAGTCATGTAGTCCGTTAAAGCCTAACGTTAGCTTTTTACTTCTGGCGATCGCATTTAAGCTTCAAATGCGGTGTGAAAGGTGTTCATATGTGAAGATTATCTCGCTGAACAAAACCTGTAAGTATCATAAACTTGTGTTAGCCACAGAGCTTATTTTCTGACATAATCCAAAACGCAATGCAATAATCACATTCACTTTCTCTTCCGGGAACCAGCGCAATGCTAAACTTCCGGGTTTTGATGTCAGCCCTGGCACACTCTATCGCAAATCACGATATTGTCCACTCAAATCGCAATCGCACGTTTTTATCAAATCGTGCAGCACTAATTGTTGTTGTCATGTTATACTATTGGTATTGTTTAATAAAGCGCTTCTGACACCTACCGCCCTGTTTCTACCAAACACTTTAGGTATAGTACCTTTGGAACCAAAAGTAACCCTTCAGACATGGTACCTAGACCCTCGGCCCGTTTAGCGTTTACACCACAAACAGTACTCTTAAATGTGGGTGTGGTTGTTGTCACTCACTGCTCTGTCCAGCACTCACTGGATTTCCTCATCACCAGTGATACAGAAGGAAGTCTGCATCTCGTTCATTGTCCACAGAATGAAGTTGCACACTGACATTTTCAGAACAAAATAGAACAGGCAGCAGTGAGAATCTCTCTAAATGGGATATTTAAAAATAGTGGGTTTGTGCATTTATTGCTTCTCAGGAAAGCACAGGGGTTTAGTGTTGCTGGAGCCCACAGGAGTTCTTTTTTTCTCCAAGTGAGGATCAGAATATATGCAGTTCACATAATCTGATCAAAATTATTATTTTTTTTTAAACACTTGAAGATGTACTTATTACTAAAGCTACTGAACTGGGTAAAGTTGTCATATTGAAACTTAAGGTGTGCTGATGGATTCACATCGTCGGCTTTATGTTGTGTGTCACTCTAGAGGACGATGCTATTGTGTTACACATCATGCCGGTCACGCCTCTTTTGATTCTGCAATACTGGGATGCTGTCAAAAAATCACACAATGGAGCAGAACGATGCTGCCGTCGTTTGGGTCTGTGTAAAAATATAAAGGCGACATGAAGAAGGGACTTTGTAGCTGTCTATGGAGCAGTTCCAGACTTTATACCAGTGACATAAGGTAGTTACGATGGGCCCCAGTGCATGCTATTATGACAGGATGTAGTGTACCCTAGTTCCTCGTTATGAAGCACATACATGCAGTTTTAGGCATATATATATTTTACCAACAGTGTGTCTTACTGCCACTTTTATGTTGCATCCGTTTGCGTATGTGCCCAGTTTGCCAGTTTTGAGAGACTTTGCACCTAAACTAACTACTGTATATCATATCATCTCATTACATGATTAAACAGAGACTTGATATTTGACAACATCAACAGGCATATTACCCAGCAATCATCATTACATATCTATATATGACAAAAACTACAAAAGAAAGACATCACAAACTTGAGTATTAGCAGTCCAGTTTTTGGATTTGGGAGAGAGTTTTTCCTGTTATATTTTTAAACTGTCTTAAACCACAGGAATAACATTTATTAATCTTGAAAATGGGCGTAGTTTCCCTTTAAGTTGCATCGCAGACTCTGTGTGTGTGTGTGTGTGTGTGTGTGTGTGTGTGTGTGTGTGTGTATGATGGGTGGGGGTACTTGGCAGGCCCGTCCTTGACAGAAGTGCTCTAAGAATAATACACTTACGATATGTAGGCTGGATAAAGAAAGCCGATGAGGTTGCACAGTAGGGAGGCTCCGTAACCGATCACCAAGTAAACTGCGATTATCCCGATGACAGCTGGAACACATCACACCAGATGTTTGTTACGCTTCTTCACAAATATACTACAATGGACATACTGTACTACACTGCTTCTTATTATATTACATAGCTGCTACTGTTGCTAGTTCAAGAAGAACATTTGACTTCTATAATTAGATTATGACTAATGATAGCCTTGATGAAGCTGTGTGTGCCACGCGCTGACTCGTTCTGTACGTATCGCTTCCTCTGTGATACATTCAGTTTCTCCGTTTTCTCTTTTTCCATCACTGTCCTGTCAATACTCACCCAGAGCGATGTACGTCCTGCTCACTCCAGTTTTTGCCTCGATTTTTGCTAGAACATCTGTCATGAAATTCTTCTCATGGAGAAACTTTTCAAACCTTTCTTTGAGCCCCTGCGCCATGGCTGCACTTCCTTCTATAGCGATGCTGATTACGAAATTGTTCTGAATCAAACTGCGACACCCCTGCAACCCAACGCACCGCTGCTCTCAGGGGCGTCAAGTTATGAATCCATGGCGTCAAGTCTCAGACAGAGGATGTACCATACAGCATCCGACCGCGAGCTTCAAAATAAAAGCACGAGGTTTCTTCATGACTCAACGTTTTAGTGACAATAATCTAGGCAATAAAAACAAATGACTCATCACGTTATTAGAGCCCAGATTGAACAGGGTAAGTATCTCTAATCGCTTTCTTTCATAGAAATACTTGTTATTTTTATTAATTTTACTACACAAATAGCTTAAATGACACAATGGAACATATAACCTTAACTATTTAGGGACTTTTCATTACTTATGAGCAGGCCTGTCCAAAATCTGTGCCCACAGAACTCTTTTTCCACAGATTTTAGGAATATAGATTCTGCTTGTAAACCTCAGAATGTTGTCACTGTCTCCTCTACCTCCTTGTGCATGTGTATGACAACTGTGTGTTGTATTCAGTTAGCATTAAAATCATCAAACAAGTGTTATCATAAAGAATACTGGCAATCAAAACTTGAAAAATTCCCTTGATTCCCTTTGAGCCAGCTCAGGGATTGGTGCAAAAAGGGGGAGGCATGCCAAATAATTTTTTAGGCACTAGGGAGGGTCTTCTCTTATTTTTCATTTTGGCTTAGGGGAGGGGCATACAAATTTAAATGATTGTATTTTGTCCTCCAAACGCATCTGCGGGATCAGAAGGCATGTTTTCTTAAAAAACAAAAAAAACAAAACAAACAAACAAACAAAAACCACCAAATGTACACCGATCATATCCAGAAACTGTGAAATCAGATGGTCCTTTAACACATCAAGGGTGCAGAGTACTTCAGTCAGAAAGAAAACATAACCATATCTGAGCTTAAACTAGTGATATTTCATCAGAATCACTTGATTCTATGTCTTATTTAAAATTTGGCTAAAAAGGAACCATTTGCACTAACTAATCAGCACACTTCACAAGAGTAAAAAACTGATGCTTTTTTCAACTTCAAGATTTTATCTTCATTTCTTAACTTTCAAACATGGAAAGGTACATTTTAAAAACTCTGATTACTAATTTGTGGTGGAGGGAAAGTCATACATTAAAAAACAAAACAAAAACAAAGTCACACCCCAGCCACCCCCCTCCTCTGATAAGTAAAGAACAGTCCCTTAAGTGAATTAACAAAAACAGTAGGCTGTGTTTTTTTCCCAATTCTGAAAATCCCCCTGCAATGAAGTGTTGCGTGTGTATTTACTGTGAAGGTAAGTGGAAGTAAATGTGATATCTTACAGCTATAGTAACTATGTCTAGCTTGATGCTGCTGCTCAACAATGACAGAGACTATATGGCATTTTACCCTGAATTTCGTCTTGCAGGCATTGCATTCTCCCTCACTGAGTACTCATGCAAAGACCAACCAGTCCTTTAGTTTGTGGGTTATTGAGGTTCAACAACCTCGTGATCGGATTAGGGAATGTCTGAGCCTCTGGAAAACTGACCTCCTCAGTGGAATATCTCCTGAGAGGTTAAAACCAGGGCACAAATCTTGTCACCATAACAGTAAGCCCTCTGCAGCCACACCCTTCCTTGCTTTGATGACATTGCAAAACACAACGGCTGGCATAAAATGCAATAATTTTAAACATCCTGCAGTGTGTGGCAGCTGATTTACAGCCTTCATGTTCATCTGTGATGTTTGTTAGGGAGAAGAAGTGTGATGACAAAGTACTTTTGAGTGGTTTAAATAAGTCCATTTGATAATTTAGGGTGTATTTAGGTTTTGCTTGTTTGTTTTCTCCACTCCATAAGTGTTCCTAACGCACAGCCTATGTTAGGAGTACTTGCTCTGCTGCTTTGTGCAGTGGCACATGATGTATGTTGTTGGCTCTGTACTCCATCATATTGGATTTAAGTCTCAGCATTCATTTGAAGGCGTTTACATTTGTATTAGATCATCCACAGTCAATGTAGGAATAGTTTGTCTTTGTAAACAGTGCCCATCAGAAATTATACAGGAACAAACCCCAGAAAGGACTTTAGTTTTTAAAATACAATGTGGAACAAAGCACAGCCATGTTTTTTCACAACTTTAACATGTCAACTATTTGAAATGGATTGTTGTTATAAAAATATTTTACTGCAAAATTAGTTTATTTGGGTGATATTTTGATCCTCCCCAAAACCAAAATTAATGAAAATTTGGGCTTATCGGTGTTGGCCTTATCACATCTGTCTCTGGAAATTATCATCAGAATGTCACCAAATTTGGACTGGCTGTTCACAGATAGTCATGGTATATGATAAAGCAAAGATCTCATCAATACCTTTGTTTTTTTTTAATGAACACATAAACAAACATTAATTATAGTTGGAAATTAAATGGGAAATAAAAATATATATGTCTGTAAATATAGGCCTCGTCACAATGGTTGAGATGTCCATTTATAGTAAAGGTAAAATAGAAATGGTTGAAAAACGCTCGTTAAAGTGCCCTCTTGGGAGCCAAAATGCACGCTAAAGTGCCCTCCTGGGAGCCAAAACGCGCACTAAAGTGCCCTCTTGGGAGCCAAAACGCGCACTAAAGTGCCCTCCTGGGAGCCAAAACGCGCACTAAAGTGCCCTCTTGGGAGCCAAAACGCATGCTAAAGTGCCCCCCTGGTTGGCAAAACACACTAAACTGCCTTCTTGGGTGGAAAAAACACACTAAACTGCCCTCTTGGCTGGTTAAAACATGATAAACTGCCCTCTTGGGTGGTAAAAACATGTGCTTAAGTGCCCTCTTGGTTGCCAAAATACAACTGCTCTCTTGGGTGGAAAAACACACTAAACTCCAGAAGACTATTAGGACCAAGAAATACTATAAAACATCACAGTTGCAATGACTTTTATTTTGGGCCCTTTTTTGATCTATATTGAGCCAGAACTATATCTCACAGAACCAGTTTGGATTATCTGGTGCTAATATGGTGTTAAAATGCACTAGAATACAGGAAATGGCATCTACTTAATTGAAAATGTTCTGGGGAGGACCCCCAGACCGCCCCAGGGATATATTTCCTTCATACATCCATGTCTCTGTGTGTTCTTCACAGTCCAACATTGAATCTACACAGTTCTCGTGGATGCTGATCCTAACTACAAACTAACTTGAGAAGTCTGTCTAGTTAGTCTGTTTTAAGGCTATATAATGTGCCATTTGTATAACATATAAACATGTCTAAAGTGCCCTCGAAAACATGCGGAACTTAGTGCCCTCTTCAGTGGCAAGAACGCGCTGTATGTGTCCTTTTTTTTCTTTTCACCCCTGCCCTTCAAAAAGTCTGTGCATGCCACTGCTTCTGTGTGTTTCTCTTTTTGTATGTGGTGTTTTTCGCTGCTTATGGTAGATGCAGTTAAAAAAACTTATTTGTGCATATACACAATATGCAATCGCATAATAACAAAGGACTGTGCTTTTTGAGCCTAAATGTAAAGGATTTACACTGGCCCATCAAAAGAAAAAAAGTTTTGTCTTATCTAAAGTCAAAACAATGTGATGTGGGGTTCCTTCAGGAAACACATTTATTAGACCAAGAGATGAGAAAACAACGCATCGGGTGGGTGGGATATGTGTCTGTAGTGTTTGGATCTAGCCGTAGTAGGGGAGTCGCTATTTTGATTAACAAGCACTTGCAATATAAATGTATTAAAGAAGTAAGAGATGACTCTGGGAGGATTTTAGTAGTATTAGCCAAGCTACAGAGCCTCACTGTCATCTTAGCCAGTGCCTATGCCCCTAACACAGAAGACCCATCCTCTTTTTGGCCTGCTAGAGTGCAAATTGACCTAAGTCCCGCCCTCAAACGTGATGAGCCAATCATCGTGCGTATAGTCATTCCCATACACTCAGACATTCTCAGCCTGGACGTTCATTGAAATGCATTACAGAAAGTCAGTTTTGTTCGGTTTTATGAGCTTTTTCGGAGATTTGAAGTTTAAAAATGGTCAAACGGTGTGCATGGGGTACATGCCACTCCGACACAAGGTATCCTGAGAGGCTGGGCGACGGGGTGTATTTTTTACACTCTCTTAAACCACATCTCAACCGAGAAAATGGCCTTTGGATAAAGTTGTGTGGTAACGGTAGACCACAACATCAACTCAACGTGAATAAGATTAACAAGGATCAATCAATCAATTAATCAATTTTATTTATAAAGCCCAATATCACAAATCACAATTTGCCTCACAGGGCTTTACAGCATACAACATCCCTCTGTCCCTCACAGCGGATAAGGAAAAACTCACCCAAAAAAAAACCCTTTAACGGGGAAAAAAAACGGTAGAAACCTCAGGAAGAGCAACTGAGGAGGGATCCCTCTTCCAGGACGGACAGACATGCAATAGATGTCGTACAGAACAGATCAGCATAATAAATTAACAGTAAAACAGTAATCCGTATGACACAATGAGACAGAAAGAGAGAGAGAGAGAGAGAGAGAGAGAGAGAGAGAGAGAGATGCAGGTCAGACGGTAATGACGGTAGCTTACAACAACATTGATGAAAGTAATAATATTATCGTTATAGTTCTGGCTACTGTGGTACAATATGTTGAAAGTATATATTAGTATCTGGCAGTATACATGTGTGATAATAATCATATGTGTATAATAACAGTAGAAGTATGACTAATGACTAATGATGGCAGCAGCAGAGAGCCGCTGGCATGGAGGTGAGGACATCAGTCTTAAGGTATAAATCGACGTTAAAACAGGTCAAATCGATGTTAAAAAAGGCCAAATTTTTTCCGAACGCATCATGACACTAAAGTCTCACTCTTGTCATTTTCTGAAACTTGGCAGCCCTGCTAATGTATGAGTGTTAACTAAAGGTAAGACCTCCTTAAGTAGCCTAGTTGGGATGGGGTCTAAGAGACATGTTGATGATTTAGATGAAGAAATCACTGCGGTCAATTCTTGAAGAGAAATTGGGGAGAAGCAATCTAAATGTATATTAGGTTTTACACCTGTGTTTGAGGTTAGATAGGTACTATCTGAGGACAAGAAGTCA